TCCATGACGCCCACATGCGTCATTAAAATTTTGTATTAATTAAAATGTCTTTAATAATACAAAAGGTGCTTCTGTCTCGCTTTCTTTCTTTCATTATATTTTCCGTCAGTTACTCGGTTGAATTTAAAGCAAAGAATTTCTTTTCTTAATGAAATTTTCACGAGAAGCCTTCCTTTACGCAAGTTTAATGTGCTCGATATCGGATGTCTTAATGACTGTGAATCTGAAAAATCAAGAGCTTGTTCATTTCAAAGTTAACGTAGGTGTTATTTTATTGGTTTCTTATAAAAAAAAAAAAATGTATCTAAATCAGAATATCTCTGTATTTCTTAAATCAGAAAGAGCAACTGTGCTTCGGAAATATTGCTAATTGCTTTTAGAGAGAAAGAGAGAGAGAGAGAGAGAGAATATTGAAAACAATTTCAAATTTTTTAAATTTAAGTTGCGCTCTTTACAAAACCACGAGAATTTTTCAGGAAACGTGTCATCTCCGGAATGACATATTTTCACTTAAATTGAAAAAACACACACTCGTCAGCAACGTAATCGGATCGATGAGGAATATGATTGTGTGTGTGCTTCTTTCTCTCACTCTGTGCGACCTATTTTTCCGACCAAGTTATGACGCCATCGCGGTGACGTCACCGCCGCGCTGACGTCACCACCACTCCCTACGTGACCATTCAAGGATGACCTCCTTTCTCTCCCTTCGAATTTCACTCCCCTACGACCCTCATCCCTCCTGCGCGCTCCGTTCCTAGCTTAATGGCCGCCTCCCGCGCCATTCATGTGAATATTCCCTCACTATCGGATGCGTTCTATTTCATAAAATGATTTGTTATATGCTCTCGTCTAAATGTAATGCCCTCAATAATGGCCCCGGTGGTCGTTTTACGACCAATAAAACTTCCACTAGCGCCTGCACTCTCGTTATTACAATAATTGTGCTTGCGTTGCAAATCTATAACTTGTATCGTTTAAAAGCGTATATGTTTGTTCGCTTCAGAATATGTCAAATATTTATTTTAGATATTTGTATTTTTTCGGTCGTAAAAAAAACAATAACGATTGCATTGCGCGTATTGCGCTCCAGTTTTAGTTTCAAGTAAAAAACCACTTGTAAAAAAATTTTTGCACGCAATCGTATCGTCTACTACCCTGGATCGGTGCAACAATCTCACGTGTAGTTAAACCAAGCTTTACAAAACATTGTTATCGGTTGGTCGGTAGAAAAATACTGTAAACTGTATTATTTTAGTTGCAAAAACTGAGAGGAGGGGGTAATAATTGAAACACGTTCGAACACATATACGCTACAGATATACGGGATTGAAGCACAAAATAGGATTACGGCCGACGGACGCATGCACGTTAACGGCTTAGTAGTAAATCCAGATATTCCACCGACATAGGAAAATTCCGTGTTCGATAGAGACCGGGCGAAAGTCTACCGCGCCGGGGTTTCTCTGTCTCTCGCCGGATAAAGAAATATCGCTTCGAATCTTACAAAAAAAAAAAAAAGAAAAAAAACGAAAAGAAAAAAACTGCGGAGAATGAACGAGTCGGTAATTGGAAATTGCGTCGACAAGTTTGAGACAATAAAATGAATACATTCAATGAGAAAAAAATTCAATTACGCTAAGACGATTGCAGTATATAATTATGATCATTATTTATTGTTTCACAAAATAATCGAGATTTGCTTGCCTTCGGTCGGACGTAGAATTGGCTACTTTTGCTCTGTATAAAAAAAAAAAAAAAAACGAAATGTTCGATAAATTATCATTCTTTTGATTTTTTTTTTTTCACGTGAATATATTTCAATAAACACGCGCTGAAAAGGAGACGAGCGCGCTTTTCTTATTTATTTATATATTTATTGACCCGTGTTATACATTGTTCGTTAAAAAGAATATCGAAGTCTTTTCGAAGCTACTTGATTCTACTTATAAAACTTTGTTCAAAGTAGAAGGTCAAGGAATTTCCATTTAATTTAGCACACACAACGTATTGCATAGGCGCTGCAATGATCTTGCAAATTAGAAAAAAATAGATTATCGCGCGGAGAAAAGATGTTTTTTTTTTTTTTTTTTTTAATAACAACAACACAATATCTAATAATACATAGAATTATAGTAACAGTTTTTTTTTCTCGATTAATCGGCTACCTGCTTGTTATTCATAAGCGAAAAGAAACACCGATGTATTCTTATTATTAGATCAAGGATTGTATTATAAAACAGAAACGATAGCGAGAATGAACTTGTTCCTAATTTAATAATTAATGCTTTTTTTATCTTGTTATACAGACACACACAGTCTCCCTTCTCCGATTATTACAAATTTATTTTTAACGATGTGCCACGCCCTTTGCAACCATTCTCTGCTTCTTGCGATTTTATTGCTCATAGCGCAGGTTTAACGGAGCAAAAAAAAAAAAAAAAAAAAGGTAAAAGGCGACGCCCTGTGTCCTTGGCGCTAGGAGTATCGATAAATGTCACAGTGCAACTCACGCTCAAATCTACTCAAATAAAACTCGCGAAACTGGGTTAACTTTTCGTGGATCTTTCCCCGGATGAAACTGCATTTCTCAACTCTAATTAAAAATTTCTGACACACACACACACACACACGTATACTTTCAAGTTTTATATTTGTGTCAAATGAAACTGAAAAAAAAAAAAACTTCAATTATTTTTACTCTATGAAGAATAATTTGAATGCCCTTTGTATATTAAGCGCTATAATTATTTTTTAATAGAAGCGAGAGAATTAATATTCGAGATAATTTCGCTGGTTAATTAATCATCACGGGGGCGGGATAAATCCAGCGATACCATAATGATCGTGAAACCGTTGACTAAATCGTTTAAAACGGCGAATTAAGCTGCCAGAGGCAGCGATCTCTTTCCGGATCGCATTTCCGTTATCCCCTAACTCGGATCGGAATCTCTACAAGATGGAAGCACGCGATTCCGGTGCCAAATGAATTTTCACTAGAAGCGGCGCTTGTTCGCGGTTGATAGACCCAATATCTATGCAGATTCGGTCGAGCGAGCGAGCGAGCGTGCGGCTCGTGTCTCCGGAATTGGCCAAAACTTTTTGTCAGCTAAAGAGAAGCAGCTCGTCGCGCAAAGATGTCTGTGTGATGCGAACTTCGGCGTATCGCGCGCGCCGCGTGTGTCACCTGCGATTCCGCTTTCCTGTCTAATTTTCCATCTACAAAGAGAGAGTGAGAGAGAGAGAGAGAGAGAGAGAGAGCAAACGTCAGCCGGACTTAATTGATTCTCGCTTTAATTAAAACGAGAGAACCGGTCGCGTGGAAATATCGTGGCTTTTAAAATACGCCTACACTTGCGATATTTCATATGATCGATTTTTTATATTTGTAATATATCGTAGCGTGTAACATACAAAATTACATAACCGTAATTGGCTGTTTATATACATAAATACGTCGGTACGATATCACATGCAGCTGAATATTTTATATATACTTCGAAGCGCGCAATAACTATTTGTTATTTACAAATAGCTACAAACTCTCCGTTATAAAGCGTAATAAATGTAGCGTATATATCTCATCTATAATTGTGTAATTTTTACTTCTGTATATTTCGCAATATTATTTCACAGATTATTGATGTGTAATCAAACAAAACCTTGCGCGTCCGCAAGTTAAGCCCCATCGTTTGCTCTCAATCGACTTTACAATAGCGATAGTTATCTGTGTATAAATATATAATCGACTCCGCATTCTCCGTTCTATAAATATGTATACGTCGATGGATTTCTCGTTTAGCAAAAACACAACACACACAGAGTTTAAAAATCCAATGTTTGATATGATCGGTTTTCTTCGCGATACGCGCGTAGTCACGGCTTCTTCTTCAAAGAAATATACAAATATATATTTCTAGACACGCAATAAAAGTAAAATCCGTTTTATATATCCCGTATCATTTTGTACGCAAGTTTATTCAGCCGCATTATTGCTATTCCGTCGATCCGAGTAATGTTCCTTTTTAAAACAAGCTTCGTCCTTTCGTCGTGTTTGTGTTTGCACAAAGCTTTGCACAAGCTTTGCACACTATTGCCGAATGCACTCGGTGAATGCTGATGGCATTTAAGTGCCTCAAGATATTTTTCGCAGAAAGGCTTGTTGTCGACTTGAGAGAGAGACACCGCCGCGGTCCTAAACTCGCGCAATCTCTCTCGTCGAAACGAATTCCATGAATAGCAATCAACGAAGCATGGTTAATTGCATTAAAACACTATCGATCCGGTCTGCGCTCGCGAGAATCGTGCGGAATCCAAATGCGCGTCGTCGCCCGGATACGTACGTAATCGTCGCAAATCAGTCAATTTGCGAAAATGCGCACCTTGCGAATTCTTGATTCCGCACTCGGTTCCGCAGCGACGCGTTTCGTTGTGTTTTAATCCTGCTGTTGAATAAAAATTCATTCGGATCGAACGAATGAATTGAAATGGACACACCACAGAGAGGAAGATGGATAGATAACGGGGGGTTGCATACACGTCCGATTAATTAACGGCGGCTTTTCTTTTTTTTGCGTGGCGTGGTTGCGACGCCTTTCATTATATTATACCGCGCACTTATATCGATTGCTGAGAACAATCGAAAAAAAGTGTGACACGAAAATTCGATCACCGATCTACTTTTTTTTCTCGTCTTCAATCCGGATATTATCGCTAATGGCTCGCACATATTGTATTTGACGTGTTTGAAGTTTTATAAAAAAAAAAAAAAAAAACACACAAGAGACGATATCAAACTTTTTTAACCGCTTTAAGTACAGAGTTTTATAAGAATGAGAGAGAGAAAGAGAGAGAGAGAAAAAAAACAGAAAAAATCACTAGATATAAAATTTATTTTTATTGTTTTTATTTTCGCGACTTTTTTATAAAAGCTAAAAACCGCTTCATTCTTTTTCTTTTTAAAGAAATGCTATGAGAATTATACGTCTTCCCTGTTTCAGGACATCGACTACGAGGGTTTCCGCAAATTTCTGAATTCCTATCTTGAGATCAATACTCCGGATGAATTGTGCCGACATCTTTTCCTCTCGTTCGTCAGGAAGAACTCGTGCGGAGTGGATGGCAAGGCTTTCAAAGTATGGGCTTTCAAACCAAAGCTTTCCAGATATATAAGAAAAACCGCTGTGGTATTTTATTCGTTATTAGCGAGCGAGACTGTGTCTCTCATTTATTACCGTGAGTAACGTCACAAACAGTCGCTAATTGGAGGCGAAAGAGAAATACGAAATTCGTATTCGCGCGTGTGCGAAGTGACGCATTAACGTAATCCGAGATTATAATGCGCGCAATTATGTCGCGGAATAAAAACAGCGTGTCGCGAGTCGGTGTAAAAAAAAAAAAATAACAACAACAACAAACAAGAGAAACACTCGTAAACGAGTGCGTTAAAAAATTAAAAGCCGCACGTATTATACGCGTTTGTTGGTTTCCCCAGGAGATGGCCGTGCTTTCCTCGACTACCGCCTGCGCCGCAATTACGTCGCACACGACTTCCAGCAGTAACGTTAATAGCGCCGTCGTAACCGGCGGAACTTCCGTGGAGAGTCACAGCAGCGGGTCAACGCTGGCCGACAAAATTCACGGGATCACGGAAAAATTACAAGCGCTCAGCCATCACAAAACCGAGAGCGAGATCTCGAAGACGCGAACCGGTAAGGTATTTCGCAATTACTTCACTTTGACAACTTTTTTTTTTTAGCAACAAGATATGTATAAGGCCTTACGAGCCATTCTCAAGATGTTTTGTGAGTAGAAACTTGTACGTGTATATATATACATACACATGTAACGAAATTCAACTTGTAAATTTTTACAAGTGAGTGTTTTTTTGAGTTGAAAACTCAATTCTTAAAATCATACGGGATGCCAGATTTGCATCTCACATATGACAGACCCCGGATATCCCCCTAACTAATTTTAAAATTTTGCGAAAAAAACTCCTCGGCCAGGAGTCGAACCTGGAATCTCCGGCTTTCCGTGCCATTTTTTTTTTTAGATTGTTCATTGCATCGTGAAGCATATGACGTAAATTCTTGGCGTTTTTAAAGAAATGTGAAAAAACAACTTGTATAATCTCCTTCTCCAAGTATTAGTTGGAAAAAAAAAAAAAAAACTCGCGTTTTGCGGAAGAAACGTTAAGGTTCTTAGCAAGCAATAAGCAAACTAGTTAACAGGTCCGCGTAGTAACGACGCTGTCAAACACAATCAAACAATACAAAGCAGTCGCGATATTAATATCGTTTTAATTACGAGCGTTTCTCTTCCCCATTTGCGCTGTCAATGCTTACTAAGGGCTTCCATTTTCTCGGGGGTCTGTATTTTTACGGTAAACAGAATGCTTTCGCGATCGGATAAAATAGGTCAGCAAATATACAGTAGGCCAGAAAAAAAAAAAAAAGAAAATGAGAAGCCTGATAGCTTCAATGTTTTTTTTTTTTTTTTTACCTATGCACACCGCACATATCGGCGAATGCTATTGTTCGCTTCGAAATGGCGAATGAATAACAATCGATCCGACTCAAAGGAGCTTTGAATGAGATAACTCCCGCCCAAAGCGCGCCGACGGGCGGCGCATCGTTCGTTAAAATAAATTCGCTTCGTTCGTGTGTCAACACTCGCGATTTTTTTTATTTATTTATTTATTTTTTTCGTAACGAGTTAATTTAAAAGTCTTATAAACTTGTGTCAGAGTTTCCCTGTCGAGTGTTCTTACAATTAAAACCGTCTGCGTACCGTGTCTGTTAATAATAACGTCCGCGCGTAACGAAGACGTCGAGACGGTGAAAAAATTGTGTGTGTGTGTTTTCGTAATTTAATTTTCTCTCCGAGAAGAAAACAAAGTCTAAAGTCGAAGACGTCTGGTGTATAAATAGATTGTGTTTTCTGTAGAAAAAGAAAACACGGAAGTGTATATATATATATACACGACGCGCGGGGCGGTGTGCTGCGTGTAGCGATTAAATGAATATAGGTATATTTAGCTAATGAATCTTCTACGAGAGAGACGTCGCCGCGTAGATTTTTAGATTGATGCGGCAGCCGCGATCAATCATGCTTGTTTGTTTTTCTTGTGTTTCACGCAATTCACGTGGACACTTCAGGAAGCGTGCATCCGATGTTGACGGTCACCCACACGTCGTACAGCTGTCACGACGTACTAGACAAGAAGAGCACGGACAGCAGTCCGAGTCACAGCCAAATGTCGCGAAATTCGTCCAGGAAGTCGAACAATTCTCTTCTCGTCAACAACGGGAAATTGGAAGGTGGGTGCAATCGCTCGATCGATATCCAAATACGCAAAACGAGCGTAACATCGAGCAATACCTGTTTTTCGATGTGACGTAACACGGAAGCGTATCATACGCGCCATCATTATTGAGATTATACATTGGGCCGGGATTTCTGCGTGTCAATTTCTCGCGCGATAAATATCCGCGTTAATCTTTTCGCCGATTATTCTCTTTTTTTTTTTTTTTTTTTTCATTCGGAAAATTATTTCTCACCAAGAGAAAGACTCTAATCTCAACTCGATGATCTCTCTTCTCTATAACGAGCTTTTGCTCACACACTTTTCTTAGAAATGATTCTATATATCGGACTCTTTTTTTTTTTCTCTCTTATTTTATTCGGCGCTCGAAAGCTCACATTCAGGAACTTCCGATAAAGAATCGCTTCTCCGTGATCGAGAGCTTCTTCTGAATATCTGGCATTAAAGTTCCTCTCGAAGCGGTTGTACGGCTTTACATGAATACGAGATTAAAGGATACGCCAGATTCGCTTAAAGAGATCCTCTCTTTCTCTCTCTCTCTCTCTCTTCCTAAACGGCGCGCGCGTGCAACGTGCATATTCCGTCAAAATTCGGTGCACGATGTGGAATTCATTTGTGCCAAAAGCGGGGATCGCATTACACAAGCGCCATGATGAAAGGTCCATTTCGGTCGCAATCGATCTTACGGCGGGCCGCCCCGTTGCTCTCAAACAAAACCTGAGATCGTAAATGCCTTGGTGAATTACCGCTCTTGGAGAGACGTCACATCTCTTTCAGAAGTGTACTTCACCATATCGGGCGAGCGACAGTCAGCGTAATCGAAAAAATACGACCACAATACTTTGTGTGTGTGTGTGTGCGCGCGCGCGCGCACGCGCGTGTGTGTGTACACGTACGTACGAGTCATCCTCTACATGTATACCGCTTTTACGATATATCGACGGCAGCCATCTCTTTGCTTCCACCACTTTATTGTATTTCGCTCCCGTAAATTTTGCAGTATTTTATTTATATTTTTCCGTGCGCAGATATATTTGTCGCGTACTTTTTCATTGGCGATATTTCAACTGCGTTTCAACATTTTCGACGGAAAAAAAAAACGATCGCTCGGTTAATTAAATTCGGGAACGTTCGATTATTATTTTTCACTCGGGGGAACGAGAAATCCCAGATGAAGAGTAGATGGGAGAGATGTGAGGGAAACGTTTCCGTCAATTTTTTTTTCCCAGCGTGACACCGCGGTGAAAAGCGATCGATCTAAATTAGTCACGCGAGACATCAACAGACGCTGTTTATGTCTGCGTCTTTCCGGATGAAGACGCGCGTCGGTCTTACACACAAGAAACGGAAATGTAATCATCGTTCTCGCGTTATAGATTTTAAGGAAGATGTTTATTCACGTCTGGCGGCAACTGCGGCGGCGATGCCATCGATCGCCGCGCATAAACACGCGCCTTCTTCCTTCGGATGCGCATCAGGAAATGGATATTGGTATTTTAAATATATCCGCGATTCTAAACGACAAGAGTTCTTAAAGCGCGAGGGAAACGCGCGAGACACGACGCGTCGTTTCTTCGTCGTGACGCGCGCGTGATTGAAAGCTGTGTGTGTCGGAAAAATCCGCGATTCGGAGTTCTATTTCCGCGTTCGTTTGAAGAACGAAATCTCGATCTTATCTCGCGTCTGCTTTACCTCTCTTGCCCCTCTCTTGTGTATCACGTGCGCCGTTTCGAGAGAGACCTAGATCCCGCGTCAAACGCACGCTTGAGGGGGGAGGTAGGTGATGAATCCCAAAAACGCACGCGCGCGCGTCTTTTGGTAGATTATATATACGTGACTCGTGAAAAACGAAAGGGAAACATCAAATACGATTCGAAAATAGAAGGCTCGACTTATGACGAATCAAAGTTTTCGATAAAGTCGCCGCGTAGTGTGTGCCATTTTCAAGTTTCCCACCGGGCTTTGGCTTCTCGGACAAGATTTTTCTCGTCTTTTATGAATCAGAAGATGAATAGCATTGCATCCGCACACAAATACGCACAGGTGTTCGCGTTTTGTAACAAAAACGAGATCGTATAGTAAAGTAATACGATCGCGTGTGAGAAATACAGAGGGAGAAGAAAAACAAAGAAGCGCGGAGCGGAGAAAACTTGATTCGACCGACGCACCAAGTATATTCGAGCGTTGCGAGTCGCGATATGATTAAGTTCATCGATTCTCTTTATATTTTTGTAATTTAAATCGCATTACGTCTTCTATATTTCAAAAATTTATTTTAAGTCGAGAGAAAAGTGTGTTACTGTCCGAGAGAAAGGAGAACGGATGCTTCTCGATGCCACGCTCTTGGTTACTTTATTAACCGCCGCTTAATGAACCAACGGTATCGATCGCGAATAGCGCGCGCGGCGGAGCGCACAACGCGCTTCGAATTGTTCGCGCGACATACGCGCGAGTTTGCGTGGTGGCGCGTATATACGCGAGAGAGAGCCGGTGCCACCGAAATAGCCGTGCCATCCGGTATCATCCGGTACAAATGACGTCACGTCAGTGTGCGAGAGGATGATACGCTTCCTGACGGAGGCGCACCACCGTTCTCAGTGACTCTCGAGTCGTAGGAGAAGCAACAAGTGCTCGCTGAGAGCTAAATCATTAATCGCGCGCATTGACGTCGATCGTCGTCGGGGGCTTCGATGACAGTCGAATCGTCGACTGTACTCGAGAGTACTGAGTTAAACATCTCGTCGCTCGCGCTCGAACTAGGGCAAGATAATCCGATTCAACGGGGGTGATCGAGAACAATTTCTTCCCCTCTTTTTTATCGCCCGCACTGTTACACGCACCGTTGAGGAACGAGATGGTTCAATTACCGAACGTGTCGGGGATGAAACTGAAGGAAGGTAATCGTAAAATTTCACGACTCTTCTAGAAATCTGACGGGGACTCCGCTATCGGATAAAAATTCGCGCGAGACGTTTCGTTCGCGTTGAACGGAAACTTTTCGCGAGAACTTTTGGCGAAAGTCCGAGCGATATATGTGTGTCAATTGACATTCGTTTCTGTTCTAAACGTTCTCGTGACGAAATGAATGTTTCTGAGAAAGAGGAGGGACCGTTCGCGTTAATTGTATTTACAATTTTAATATAAAAAGAATGCAAAAGATATTATTGTTTTTGTAGGTTTTTTAAACATCAACCGAACATTCGCAAATTATGCGGCGAATGTCCATCTCTATCGCGAGAACTCAACTAAATCAAATAACCAAACACTGTACCGCCGCCCGCAAATGTTAATTAATTTAATTTATCATCATGCGCGCTCGTTCGTGATTGTCACGAAGTTTCATTGAACGAGAAAGCGAAGAGTCATCAAATTGTAACCATCCGCATGGGGTCGTAATATTATCTCTAAAAAAAAAAAAAATCAAATCTTGATATAAAATATGTACAGGTCGTTCACAATTCGTTGACACGTAGGAAAACAAAATTGCGGCAAAAATATATGTCGCGAATATGTGAAATCGCGTCGGCATATAAACGGCTTCACATAAATAAGAGAAAATAATCTAGTGTAAATTTGTCCGAAATTTTTCTGGCAACGTTCTGATACGTGTGCGTGTGTGTGTGTGTGTCACGGTGATTAATCGCCATGTCCGCAGTCGATCAGCACGTCGCGTTTTCCTCGTTGCGGAATGATTTATATTTTTTTTCCCAAATGTCGTTACCGGACGGTTTTTTCGCGGCTCTCACACGGAACAAATTGGATCGTTCGAGCGTAAAAAAAACGCGCGCGGCGGCGGTGGTCCTCGCACGGATAAACGCACGGGATATATAAAACGGCCAGGCGCGACGCTTCGTCTCGTCGTGCAAAAGTTTATTTTCGACTTCGTTCGCATTCGTGGCGTAAAACTATACTTTTGCGGGATCGCGACATTGTCTAAAAATACAACCGGTGAGATCGAATCATCGCGATTCGTATGATAACGCTCTTTTGGCAATAAAAAAAAAAAAAAAATTATCAACGTCGGGCAATTTTTGTTTGAGGTAAATGCAAATTACGAAATTGTCAAAAAAAAAAAAAAAAAA